AAACAAATTAAGTTTAAAAATAAGATAAAATGCAGGCAGGCACGGTGGCTCATGCCTGTAATCCTAGCACTTTGCAAGGCCGAGGTGGGCGGATCACCTGAGGTCAGGAGTTTGAGACCAGCCTGGCCAACATGGCGAAACCCCATATCTACTAAAAATAGAAAAATTAGCTGGATGTGGTGGCATGCGCCTGTAATCCCAGCTACTCAGGAGGCTGAGGTAGGAGAACGCTTGAACCCTGGAGGCGAAGGTTGCAGTGAGCCGAGATTGCGCCACTGCACTCCGGCCTGGGAGACAGAGCGAGGCTCTGTCTCAATAATAATACTAATAATAATGTAAAATATAAAGAGTTGGCTGACTGATCTTTGCCCAGCCTTGTAGATATCATGTGAGATCCCTAATATATGTTTTGTAGAGTTTCCTCATTCCATGTACATCTGTCTTTGTTCTATCCTCCTGAAAACTGAGGCAAAGGGTACAGGGCAATGTCCTCATTGCCAACTTGGCCCCTGTGTCCCTGCCCATTTTCATTATTCACCATCAAGAGTAAGTAATTAGAATATTTCTCTGTTTGTATATTTCTCAAAAATAAGAAGCATGTGCAAGTTGACAGCACCTCAATGGACCCTATGGCTTATAAGAAGCATAAAGGTACTGCCAGTACCTTGTTCAAGAAACTTTGAGTTCTCAAAGCTAATTTTAAAAATTCATAGCCATCAATTTCAAGTTTTCCTAAATTCCAAAAGCTGCCATTACATATTGGTAACCAGGCCTGGGAGATTCTGACCAAAGATCTTTAATAGAAACCAAAAGTAGTGAGAACTCAGGACCTAAAGGAAATGTTTATCAGAAAGAAACTTTGTGGAAAGGAGAGAGGAGAGATGAAGGAAAAACAGCTAATCTCTTGTGTCCTGGTCCAAATCAGTTCCCAAATTGAAACCCTAGAGAGTGGTCGGTATTAGGTATGACCAGATAAGTTACTGGGAAATTTAAGAGTATTGGGGTTAGTTTCTTCACTTCCATAGGAACAAGCTGAAAAAATGCTGAGTCTAACATGGGACAGCTCAAGTGGAAGGCTAGAAAAGGCTGTGAGAGAAGGCTGGTGATAACATCTCCCAAGACTTCCCTTACCTCCATGCCCCATCCCCAGCTGAGAGGGGAGGTTGCCAACTTCATCTATGACCCAATTCAAAGGACTGGATAATTAAAAATACAGAACTCTGGATATAGATCTATGCATTGACAATTGGTCTTTGTGAGATGCAAATATTTATTCAGAAGAGGGTTGTGTAACACGGTTATCTGGAGTCTTAATTGTGGTGATAGCTTGAGCCATCAAATTGCCTTTCCTTCCTTCAAAATTATCCCATATCCAGCTAGTTGAAAACAAAGAACAATAGAATACTGATGGCTAGACTTAATAAAGACCTTGCCAGGGTCGAAAGAAACATGATTGAATAAACCAGAAGAACTAGTTTGGACTACTCCACTGCCAGGGGAGTGGGGGAGAAAGAAAACATAAAAATAAAATGAAGGCAGGGAAAGGGTCTTTAGAAAGATTTCTGGGAAAAGAACATTTGTAGAACACTAGGTCCAAATGCTTTGTTTATTCCTCCTTCCCTCCTCTTTGAGAGTAGCAATGGTGAGGCACTTGACCGTCCAATTTTTTCATTGCTATTCTCAAAGCAGTAGAAGCCAAAAACACGGCCTGTGTGTTGGCACGTAGGATGAGGACAGCAGAGTCAAAATAGCATAGTATTATAGGACAAGGTAAAGATCGTGTTCACATAGAAAAACAGATAAATCCTTAGGAATAACCCCAAAAAGAAATGTGAATGATCTTTATAAAGAAAATATCACAAGTGACAAAAAGGTCTAAATAGTTGTACATAGATAAAATTCTAAGATGCCAATCCTTGCCAATTTGATCCATAAAGTTAATATAATTTCAATCAAAACATAAACCGTGTGTTCTACAATAAATGACATTAGCATAATTAATAATATAGAGAAAATTAAGATAGAAAATCTACCTCAAACTGTCTGTACAGACAGACAGACAGACACACACTACTAGTAGGTTAACAGTGAAGCTAACTGTAAAAAAGATATTGTGTTTGTATTCCTTCTAAGGAAATAGGCAAAGGCTTTTCTTATAACTTTGAGAAGGAAAGGCTGTCATGGAAAAGAAAAAGAAGAAGGAAGGGAGGAAGGAAGGAAGGAAGGAAGGAAGGAAAGAAGGAAGGAAAGAAGAAGCAAGAAAACAGTACATATAGAAGTCCTAAAAGAAAAATATTGACAGAAGCAGAAAACTCAATTTCCTGAGTGATGAAATAAATCACACATACACAAAGATATCAAGAGATGGGGTGAGTGAAAACATTGGCAATGGTTGCAACATGTCATAAGGATCTCATTTCAAGTGTAGCTAATGACTACCATACAGGTCAGTACAGTAAGTCTATACTTAGAAAAGGAAATTGCTTTTGTCTTGAACAGATATAGTAATTTGGGAGAGGAGAGAGACCAGTGCCCAGTTTGCCATGGTGCAAAGG